GTGCCTGGAGGAGGACGTCCGCGGCCGGCCCCTGACCTCGCAGCTGAGGGCCCCTCCTGCACAACCGACCTGCCCACAAATAACGTCTGTTTTTTTTTTTTTTTTTTTTTTTTTTTTTTTTTTTTTTTTTTGGTTAATGACATTTCCACTCCTTTTCTCCAATTCTTTTCTTGAGCTCTCTTAACCTCGGTTTCCTCACCGGCGGATAAGAGCAAGAAAAGAGATAAAGATGAAAGGGAAGTCACAGTAGACAAGAAGGAGTCCAGTAATTGTCGTCCAAGCAAGTGAAGACGGAATTCGACCTCGGTCACGACGGCAGTTGCAGTGCTGACCAAAACAGCAGTTAACTTGGCTCCGACAGCGGGGCAAGAGGCATGGCCGGCGACCAAGCGGTGTGAACAGTCCAAAGATAAATTAGAAGAGGCTGGCGGGGAGGGGCTGATGATCAAGTGACTCACCGTAATCGTAGTTCACGGGTCTTGAATCACCTCTGGTGCTCCGGTTAGAATCTGGGTTTGTGATTCAAGATGCTTCATTTTCAGCTAGCTTCCAGAATGACCCTTTGGAATTTGTTGAAATTCTCTAACACTTTCAAAACCCCACTAGAGTGTAATGAATTAATCCAAGCTGCTTTATGTTCCCCTTGAGCCTTTGAAGAAATTTAGTGTTATGTAGAGGCTTGACATGGAGACGGAAACTAAGGGCGGGATTCCAGAGGTCCAAGGTAAACGTATTGTTCTATTCGAATATTTGAAGTACTTCCTGTTTCATCTGATACGTGCTGATTTAGCTTGACAGAAAAGGTGCACAGTAATGTTTTGTATTTAAACTGTGAGAGAAATGCACCTCACAGGGTACAGTCTCCTTCGTCTTTATTCTTCCTGCTATAGTCAGAAGCTTGTAAGCTATGCCTAAAGTTTGAGTGAATACTAAGAACGTTAAGGGTAGATACTGTCGGTAAAGAACTGTAGACACAGGAGAGAAAGAAAATTAAGGCATGGCATATTGAAGACCTCATTTTCTGACTCCGTAATATCCCTCCCCTGTTTACACGTATTTTGAGCTTTGCCTGGTTCTTAATACACGCCTTGCGCAGCTTGTAGTCTAGGGTTCCCTGCCATCTACATAAAGGCTATGTGAATTGTAAAAGAAGTTTTTAAATCACAGGACCTGATCTCCAAGTAGTAGCAGATTGACTGAAATTATATTATTCTGTAAATCCATATAACCAGCAGTTTGGGAGGCATTAAATCTGTTCACTTCACCAAGCTCCAAAATTGCGGCTAATCTTTCTTTTCCATTCTTAAAGAATGCGGCAAACCTCGGAGTGTAGCAGCTGGCCCTTCCCTGGATAGCACTAAACATTCTGACTTCTGTCTCGTACCCTCCACTCAGCCTTTAATAGGCTTTGGGAGAGGGGACAAGACTAACTGCTCTTTCTTAACTTTTCCTCACTGCCTTTTGTAACATTATTATTTATGTCAGTGCAGACGGTGGTATGGTATATGTAGTGTGGGTGACTTAGGGGGAAAAAGACAAGCCACCACTAATTTTTAAAAAAAATCTCTTCAGAAGGCGTGTTGAATAATAACTAACTGTTTTGCTTTATGTTGGCACTTGCATTGAGAGCTGTTATTCTCTCACTGACAAAAGATTTAGTTAATGCTGGTGTTTCTAGAATTACTGCAGTTCTGGAATTTCAGCTTGAGGACAACAGACATGGAAAAAATGAGGTTGCCAGGCCAAAACTGAAGTAAAATCAATGTTACAAATGGTTACCAAGCTTTCACCAGTAATAAGACACTTATAGTCCTGTGCTGGGTGCAAAGATGAGAAGGCGTGCCTTGACTGATGTCCAGATAGAATTTACCACCTGTCTTCACCGTAGAATGAGACTGTGAAAAATATACCACTACAGACACGATGACTATAGGATCTATAGACTGGTGTCACTGCCCTAGTATGAATGTGCCATTCTGATTACTTGCAACTATTTGTTCTTGAAGGGCTTTTTTTTTTTTTTTTTGGTTTTTTTCTGGTACCAGGAATCGAACTCATGACCTTGCACTTGCCAGGCAGGCACTGTACCACTGAGCTAAATCCCCACCCCCCTTGAAGGGTTCTTAAGCCATGTACATTTTTTAAATCTTTTGGTTTAAGTACACAAAATATTTAACATTAATTTTTGGCAACATGATCATGTAAATATTTTATATAAAAAATATTATTGCCACTTGAATATCTTAAGATTTTAATAATATTTTGGTACTTTAATTAGATATTACCAGGAATAAAACAGGATCATTTTAATTATATTATCTTTAGATATATTTTTATGCTCACATACTTAATTTTCTTAGACATAAAGCTTAAATAATCACTAGGAGCTAGTTAACTACATTTCCTAAAGATTTTGTTGCATAAAGAAAAGGCTTTCTTTCATTGTAAAAATGTGCGTATCTAATATTAATTAATATACCAGCACATTTTTATTAACAAGAAAATATTAGACATTTCTGTCTGAATCAAGGGTTTCTAAACTGAGTCCTATAATTAAATTTCAGAGAGCTATAATGTTAAGAAATAGTATATAGTTTTGGTACACGTTCATGTAACATTAGTACTCTTATTTATACATAAGTGATCTGTTAAGCAGGAAAATATCTGAATAAGATCATTAGAATATATAACCTAAATTTTTCAATGATTTGAATTGAATTATTATGTAATAAAAAGGAAATAATTATATGCTGATTATTTGTATTTTATTAAAAGCATAGTTTCCATTATTCAAAAATGTCTATACATCAAGGACTAAATATTAAGAAAATAAAAACAAATAATTGTGCATTTGCACATACATAATTTTCTATCTGATCTCATCATTACCAACATTTGCTTCAAGATGATAAAATCTGCTTTAATCAACCAAGAAAAATGGGAAAACAAAACATCTCTTCTTTTAGCAAATCTATGTATCATAATCCAAATAATTCATCAGATTTCAGTTCAATGTTTAAAATGTCTTTCTTTTAACCCTGTTTTGGAATCTTTGCTTTTCTCTGAACAGTCAAAGTGTTTGCAGGAATATTGAAGAGCATTGTAGTAGAGCATTGTAGTAAAATGCTAACACAGGAAAGCAGATAAATCTTATTCATATTGATTTGCTCTGTCAGACAGAAAGAGAACAGGCATTTGGGGAAAATGTCCCAAATTAGATAAACAAAAATTTCTCCTGTTTGATTAGAAAAATCTCAAACACAAATGACATCAACAGAGGAAAATTAAATTGTGAAGGCAACCGATCCAAGTTAAAATGGGGGAGGAGGGTCTTTTAAAATATTAACACTGTATGGTATGTACGGTAGGTTTAAAATCCTAGACAGATTTCTCATGTGGTTCAGTTCATCCTTGATCCTCCACACACGTTTTCTTTTCTTTTCCTTCTTTTTTTTTCTTTCCGCAGTTTTCATTTATTTCATTTGCCTATTCAGTGTGATAAAAAATGAAGATGAGAAAGCGCAGATGATTATTCTATGGAGACTGCAGTCTGTATGGCAAAGCATTTCAGGGTTCATAGTTCGTACACTTAAGGAAATCTGGAAAGCTTCTTGATACCATTGCAATGAATTGTTTTTCCAGGCTTGCACGCTAGAGTGTGAAGGACAGCTGCCTTCTCTCAAAATCTGGGAAGCCTGCAAGGACCTCCTGCAGGTCTCCACGCAAGCGCTTCCTCAGGAGCGCACCAGCTCGCTCAGAGAAAGCGGCAAACAGGATGAGAACCACCTGCTCAGCAAGAAGTACGGCGGCTTCATGAAGAGGTACGGCGGCTTCATGAAGAAGATGGACGAGCTGTACCCCATGGAACCCGAAGAAGAGGCCGACGGCGGCGAGATCCTCGCCAAAAGGTACGGGGGCTTCATGAAGAAGGATGCGGAGGAGGGGGATGCGCTGGCCAATTCTTCGGATCTGCTGAAGGAGCTGCTGGGAACGGGTGACACCCGCGACGGGGAGAGCCAGCGGCCGGAGGGCGGTGACAGTGGGGAGGACGTGAGCAAGAGGTATGGGGGCTTCATGCGGGGCCTCAAGAGAAGCCCCCCGCTGGAAGACGAAGCTAAAGAGCTTCAGAAGCGGTACGGGGGCTTCATGAGGAGGGTGGGCCGCCCGGAGTGGTGGATGGACTACCAGAAAAGGTACGGGGGCTTCCTGAAGCGCTTTGCTGAGTCCCTGCCCTCCGAGGAAGAAGGTGAAAGCTACTCCAAAGAGGTTCCTGAGATGGAGAAGAGATACGGAGGATTTATGCGATTTTAGCATCCTTTCCCGTCAGTGACCCCAGACCCTCCACCCCCAGCTTCCCTCTACCCCAGTGAGCAGATGCCTCACCATTGTGTTCTACTTTCATGTATTGCTTGCACTAGGGTCTGGATGATTATACGGCCCGAAAGCTGTCATTTCGGGCTCCATGTACTTTTGAGATGCTGTGAGTTCAGTATTAGTCTCTTGCATCTGTCCTGTTTTCATGCTGAAATATTTTTGTTACCTTGTCACTTATTTTGAAAAACAGTAATAAATGCTTCCTTGGATGTAGATACAATAAACCCATTTCCCCAACTGCACAGTGTTTTTGGAAGTCTCTTCTTCCCCAAGACCCTCACTGCCATTGAGGAATCCTGGGTTTAGAACAGTACAACATTGCTTCAGACAGAACAATCACTGACTCCCCTCCCTCCTCACTGTGACTGAAAAAGTATTTTGAATTTAATTCCTTATAAGCAACATCTTACACAAATAAGCACATTGGGACAGAATAAAACATGACGTAGTCCTGTTTACACAAGAAGAAAATAAAGCCCACACAGGTGACATAGTTGACCCGAGGTTGCTTAGCATTTGAAAAGGGTGAACCCCTAAACTTCTTGCTCCCATTCAATGTCCTTTCCACTCCGTTCCCTTATTCTCTACCTGGGTCACTAGCAAGAACTGTACGAACTCGTGACTGTATCTTGTTCACCACTGTACACCTTTACACCAACGTTGTGCTGCATCCTCTAATATCTGATGAATGGATACGCGGATGGAAGAACGAAGGAAGGAGGGCGGGAAGGAAGGAAGGAGGGAGAGAGGAAGGAAGGAAGGAAGGAGAAGGAAGGATTGAAGGAATGAATGAAGTGGAATGGACAAAAGAATTTGGCAACCAAGTGATCAGTAAAGGTATTGTGAGTCTTCTGTAAGGCCATTCTGCAAACACAAGGAGCTTAGGACGTTCATATTCCTGAAACCATTTGGGACAACACTCAGATGTAAGAACTGTAACATTTAATTTCCTAATTAAAACTATATGCAGCTCACCCCCTCTCTGTTAGGTCAGTTTTCCAGCACTCACACCCCTCTGTTCTTCAAAATACAGAGTTTAGCACTTCAGCAAAGTGAAGGTTGAGTGTCTGGTCTGCAGTCCACCAGCATTGCCCACAAGATACTCATGCCTAGGCTTGTGTGCTCCGTCCCAGTGAGAATCCACAAACTTGAGCAGTCCCTCCCCTGAAGTACAGCCCTGCCGGGGATCCTGGGACATCCACAGTACAAGATCAGTGCAAGGGGTCATGAGCTCCCAGTCTGAAGGAGTGCTGCTCCCATTGATTTTGCTAATCATTGCTCAACTAACTTTTTGTTCCAGGGATAGCCCTGAGAGCCCTCCTCCTTTGAATTACAGATGTAGGTGAAGGGAATGAAGCAGATTGGGAAGTTAGTGATAGGGCCGTGGCACCTTAGAGATACGAACTTTCTATTCAGTCTTAGCCAGTTTTTTCCCTGGAAATGCAAGTTCAATATTGTCAGGCTTTTGCAAAGAATCATGAAATGTGGATTTTTAAATACTCTCATTTTTTATTTTGGCAAGTGATTCAATTTAAAACTGTCAAATAAAATCATCTTCAGATCAGATTTGGGAGACGTGAAGACTAGTATTTTAAGAAAAAATAAGTCACTCAGTTCTGTCCATTGGAGCAAAGGATTCCCAAACTTTGGAAACAAAATCTAAATTATACTATCCACACGGTGAGTATGTCCCTTCTTGACAAGAGAATGCAATTATTATCTTACAGTAACATGCTGTGTATACATACATATTTTACATATTATGATTGATAAATAAAAGTTCACAGTCAGATGAATACATTGCTTTCAGGGCAAGCACAAGTCTTTATCCGGGGGCTTTATCATTTGTATTCTGCGGCAGCCACGTAAACCAGGGTAACACATTGAAACATTTGTCACTTCTGCCGAGGGCCACCTGATGCTTAGGCTGACACTTCCTCACCACCACACCCCTCGCCTGGTGCAGAATCGGGAAAGCAGAGGATGTGCAAAATCGTAAAGGGAAGAGGGAACAGAGGAGACGACTGGGAAATGAAACAGACAGGACCCCTGGATAACATCTCATTTTTACACCTAAGTTGTGATAGGGCTGTGAGCCCTGGTGAAGCATCCCATGATCCGGATCCCCACCACACAGGGTCATGAACATTAAGTGCGGATAGTTGAGCACAAAAGTTGGCCTGAGAGTTCTGTGTAAGCCTCTTCTTGTCTCCAAACATCCCCCATGCTTTCTGGCCTTCAGTCTGAAATTCCACCATTAGCATTTTGCTTCTTTAACTCCCAAAGCCTTTGATGTTTCAAAAAATTTCCTGTTTACGTTCTGAGGAGCATTTGCCTAAGATCACCTGGGATGCTACTTCCATGCAGAGAACCGGGCTCTCTAGTGCTTGGTGGTGTTCTGCAACATGAGGGCTAGGGTTAGGACTAGCACAGGACTAGGATCTAGGTTAAAAGAACCCGAAACCAGTGATGACTTAGGAGGGTCTAGAAAAAAACGCTTCAGAGTGAGGAACAAAGATCCACACTACCTGCAGAGGGCGCTGTTGCTCCATTCTGTACCTTTCCCTACTGCTTGGTCTGGCTGTGCTCCTGATTCCCACACTCTGAGGCCTCCCCAGTCTCAGCTCCAAGACTGAGTTGGGTGACCTTTCCTTCTGAGCGTCAGTAAGATGTGAGCTCTGGGACCAGGCTGCCTGAATGGCAATCCCAGCCAGCCTGTGAGGTGAAGTTCTCCCTGCCTTACCTTCTGCCTCTGCCTTGATAGCTTGTGATAATAAGTTAATGTGTCAAGTGTTCAGAATCTTAAGCCAAGACCAGCACCCAGTCAGGCTTACAGGCTTAGTTGCTACGATTACTCAGCCTCCCACTTCTTTGACTTGAATCCCAGGCTCTTCCCCCACTCACCTGCCTTCACCCTAGGTATTTCAAGGGTGAGATGCTATCTATGGATCCGGTCCATAGGGGAAGGACCCCCACCACTTAGGAAGCTCCTTTCCTCAGGACTGCATCCCATGGAACAAAAACAACCTGTGGGGCCCCTCAATACTCAAATTCAGTTTCTATTACAAGCAGTAATCAGTTACCTGCATGCCATGATACACCTCTGCAAATCCACAGAAGGGACGACAGGTGAGCCTTTATGAAAACTATGGGCTTTGGATGACAATGATGTGTCGGTGTTTTTCAGTTGTTAAAAACAGATCACTGTGGTGGGTGATGCTGACAGGACATGCACTTGTTGGGACAGAAAGGGAAGTCTCTATGCCTTTGGCTCAACTTTGCTGTGAACATAAAACTCTACTAAACAATAAAAATTGTTGCTCCATTTCCCCTGGACTGTGCAGTTGGCAAGAGGAATGTGAGTCTGCACCCCTCTCTTCCTCCATTGCCCGGGGACCCCTCAGCTGGCCAGAGGCGTCTAAGTTCAGCTCCTCCCTTCTTGCCTCAACCTGGGGCAGAGCAGCTGGTGAGAGGACTGGCGTGGAGAACGACAGCAATGCCAGCAACAAACTAGGACACTGAATAAGGCGTATACAACGGACAGGAGGAACTAGAGGTGTGGAAATATCCCACGCAGCATTGAACCCAGAACTTGGCAACCAGCCAATCAGAGGAATCCAGGTGACTGGCTCCTCCCCCTGCATCAGTAGGACCAGGCAAGCAGGGGGACACCAACCACACAGTAGGAACCTGGCTGGGGCACACACAATGGACAGGAGAGACAAGCGAGATGGAAAAGTCCAAAACATGAGTCAGCAGGTGGTAAGTTAGGTGAACTAGCGCTGTGCTTATGGACAAGGACACATGTTTTATTTTTGTTTGTGTCTTACTTTCCTTCCCTTTTCCTTTTTCTCAGTTTTTTTTCTTTTTCTTGTTTCTTCTTCTTCATCTCTCTTTTCTAAATGTCTGGGGAGAGCTCCAGCCACAGAAAACTAATCCCATCCTCCAAACCCAGAGACAAAGTTCAGAAAATCCCTTGAATAGTCCTTCATTCTTTCTTTTCCAACTCCTTTTCTAGTTTCCCAAACTTTGTGTGACCATCCTTTGTCCTCCAGCCTTGCTTCTACTTCCTTACCAGTTATCTTTGTTTTATACACTATCCGCCCTAAACTTCCCCACCACAGGGTAAAACCACTCATCCAAGGGGAAATGCCTGGTACACAAACTCCCAATTTATGATTGGTTTTGTTATATAACTATAGACTTTGCTCCTATGATCTAAATACAAAATCAATAATTACCAAAGTTTATAAGTTTCTGTAGTTCTTGGTTTTTTGTTTTTTGGTTTTTGTACCGGGAATCAAACTCAGGACCTTGCATTTGCCAGGCAGGTGCTTGTGCTGCTGAGCTATATCCCCAGCCCAAAGTTTGTAAGTTTCTAAATTGTGCTTGATACTCTTGCTACTGCTAATTGTACCGCCCTAGCTAGGATGTCATATCTGTTGCAATCAGTTGTTCTCACTTCTGTAACAAAACTGGGAAGCTCTAGGGGTAACAACCTCACCACAGCCCTACACCAAAGGACTGAGAACAGAACAAAACAGATACCAACATCCCACTCTTAATCAATTAGGAAGATAGAATCTTGGGACAGACACAAAGCAAGAAACTCCTACACATAGAAGACATCCTTGAAGAACAGACTTTTCCTACAAGGGACTTCATACTAGAGATATAGCTAGCTACTACAAAAACCCACAAAGATCATCACAGAAAACAAAACAAACAATTTTTTAAAATAGAAAATGACAAGATAAAGAAGCAAAATGCAATCTCAGACCTCTCCCCCACACAGAACAAGTTCAGGAGACAGTGACATAGAAAAAATTGGAAGACACACACATAAAATTTGTGAAATGATAGCAACTGAATAAAGAAGAATATCTATGAGGACGTAGAGGATACTAGATGAGAAATAAACTCTCAGGCAAAATATTAAATGACAGTCATAGTGAAGGAATTGTTCAGGATATCTAGAGAAGACATAGATTTTAAAAAATAGACAAGCATGGAAAATGATGGAAACAAATGAACAATGTAGGAAAGAAATAGAATACATGAAACAGACTGAGAGAGGTACCCAGGAAGCTAAAAACTTCACTGAAAGCTGGAAAAACCACTTGAACAAAACTGAAGATAAAATTTCAGACCTTGGAGACAGGCTTGTGGCTAGCAATCATGAAAAGAAAGATCTCTTAAAAAAAACAAGGGACTAAGAAATAACAATTCAACAGCTGCAAGA